GGTTGAGAGCAAATCGCTCCGTTCGTGCAGCTCTGAGACGACTGCACGCTATGTCAGGTCATTGCAAATGCTGAGGACAGCAGGAGCATCAAGTTCTACCATCGAAGCAGCCAGACACTTTGCCTGCGAGACATGCAGAAAGACTCAGCCCGTTCAGCCTTCGAACAAAGCCAAACCACCCAACAAGCAGACCTTCAACTTTGAGATCAGTTGTGACGCCTTTGAGATCAAGGATGCTGCTGGCAACCGTCACACAGTTCTCTCTGTGGTTGACTTGGGCACTTTGTACCACCAAACCTTTTGGGTCGCTCCTGGTGGTGTTCCTCGCAGTCATGTCTGCGCCCAGGCACTACGTGATGGCTGGATCCAATGGGCAGGACCTCCAAAGTCATGCCTGCTTGACCGTGGCATGCGCAACAAAGGGCGCTTTGTTGAACTCCTCAACGCCTACGGCATTGAGATCTGCTTCGGTGCCCTTGAAGCTCCATATCAGCTTGGAAGAACCGAGCGACAAGGTGGAATCCTGAAGGATATCTTGAAGTCCGTCATCGAGGACAGCAGGTGATCGGAACTGAGGAGATCAAAATGGTGATCTCTGAGTCTGTGACCATCAAGAACAATCGTTTGCATCATCAAGGATTTACACCGTCGCAATGGATGCTTGGACGCCTTCCTCGAGAAGTTTGCTCACTCACAGCGGAAAATGATGACACTGAACATCTTGGAGTACATCAAGGCGTAGATGACCCGCTGGATGAGTTCTCAAGACAGCTCGAGATCAGGCAAGCAGTAAAGCAAGCTTTCGTCCAAGCAGACTCTTCCAGGAGAATTAGGACAGCGTTGCTTCGAATTTTTGTTCCATTACGTGGCCCCTACAAGGCTGGAGATTTGGTCAGTTTCCACCGCAAGGGCAAGTGGTTTGGCCCAGGCCGTATCGTTGGAACTTCTGGAAGGGCGAACTTTTGGTTGGTCCACGGAGGAATACCGATCATCGTATCGGAAAGTCAGATCCGCCCTGCAACTCGTTCCGAGGTGCTTTCAAAACAGCTCCTTGAACTACGCCCATCTAGGAAGAGACGCAGGGAAGCTTTTGAAGAGCCTATGGATGATGCACCTCCGTTCTCTGAAGATCTTCACGTACCAGCGGCCCTTCGCCATCTCCTATGCCTGAACCAACTTCGCCTGAAGAGCAGAAACACCGTTTGATCTACCTCATGAACTACCCTCCGTACCAGAGGAAATGGCATTAGATGATGAAGAAGAAGTACCAGTTCCTCCAGCACCGGATGAATCTGGACAACCAGAGTCTGAAGCATGACACCCTACGACAGTGCCATCAACTCCAATCATGGCTCCATCCATTGGCTCCACTTCACTGCAGACAGCCTTGAATCGCTCAGTGGATCAGTTGGACGGATACCCACATCCTGAAGTCAGGCCTCCTCCCTGTCTACTACCAGTTTGGGGAAGATCAAGATCACCCCTACGAGATCCACCTGTTCCTCGTGATGAACGTGGCTTGATGGCCGTTGCTGCTGAGGATCGGCGCTACCGTGGATTTTTGGCCAAGCGCTTCAAGAAGAAGAAACGCCAAGTAGGAGCTCACAGGGAGATCAATTTCAACACCTGTGACCCAAAGACCAGAGCAGGCCTCATCTTGAGCAGAAAGAGTGGCGCAACTGGATGGATTTCACAGCCATCCATGTGATCAAGCCCAATGATGTCAAGGGCTACCTTGCTAAAGAACCCGCGCGTGAAGATAGTTCCAACCCGGTGGGTTGATTCCGACAAATCAGAAGTCGGAGAAGATGAGCAACTGAAATTGAGGCTCGTTGTCCGTGGTGATTTGGAGTACCACCCCAACAAGTTGAGAACGGACAGCCCAACTTGCTTCCAGCTCATCGTGAACATGATTTTGGCACACGCAGCCTCAATGAACCTGCGAGTCAACGCAGGAGACATCAGTGCAGCATTTCTTCAAGGTGTGAAGATCAACCGCACCTTACACCTTGGTCCTCTCGAGGTGTTCCAGATGAAAATGCGCCAGAAGGATCACTGCTCGTGGCAGAGAAATCAGTCTATGGCACGACCGATGCCCCCAGAGGATTTTGGAAGCGACTTCATGAAGTGTTTTTGCAGTGCGGCCTAAAGCCAATTGAATTTTGCTGTCAAGACAAAAGAGAAGGGCATGGTTTTCAGCAAGAATGGCCCAAAGCTCAATGATTGCGTGATCCTTTCAGTGACTGATGCCAGTCATGGATCGAGCTTTGAGGACCTTGGAGGCGGCAGGCTTGGTGGCAACCGCTCCCAATCTGGGAGGATCCTTACTTTGGCGCCCAATGACTTCATGGAGAAGGGCAAGGGCACAGTGGCATTGCTTTCCTGGTGTTCAACCACCATCAAAAGAGTGCGCCGCAGCACCATGCAAGCTGAGACTCTCAGTCTCCAGCTGGGGTCAGAGGAAGCGGAACATCTCCGCCAGGTCTTCTATGAGGTCAAGAATCAGTGATGGAAATCGAGGACAAGAAAGGTTTGTGAAGGCCTGCGATGCAATGGCCAAAGCTTTTTGCATCTTCCAGTTTCCATGAAAAGAAAAATGGGTGTGAAAGTGAAGTTGCATTCATGTCATGACAAGCTGTGTTTCATGGAAACCCGCGGTTGAGACACGTTGACCCTCGCCAACCTTCGGTTGGCTCAAGCCTGCCTTTGAGAAAAGGTGCACTTTTCGCCGCTTGAGATCAGTTTCAAGACATTCTAAGGAAAGGTAGGTGCAGGCAACTCCAAACCTCTATAAAATGACTAGGGCCCACCCCCCTTTGGTCTATAATTTCATCTCTCTGTAAAACAGCCACCAAGTCTACTTCAACCCGTAAACGGCTGATGTTTCCGAAAATGAATTAGCACTTAGCGCATGATTCTGCGCTCACGTTTTCAGATATGTTAAAGGATCATCATGAGCCTGTTCGCTCATCATACATTGCATTAATCAAGTCCATGGCAATCTCAAATTGTCTTTGTTCATTGACATAAGGCACAAATAATGTGTCAAGATGTTGTGCACCTGATGTCAGGTAGGTTCATTATATTTTGTCCAGTTTTACGTTAGCCCAGCTCAATTTATAGAACCCGAAGGTCAGGTCTGCCAGCTTATATCTATAAAGCTGTGCTTAGGACCCCGTGTGCGAATCCTACACGGGTATGCTTTTATGAGCAGAGTGATCGGCAAAAAGTGGTCGAAATGGACATCGATTTGACGTCAGGGATAGTCAAATTAGGATTTTTGCATGAACGTTGGGGCCTTCAAATTACAGGATCTGTGGGGTTGGGAACGCCGCTTTACATCTGTAATTTGGCGGTGCGGACCCCCCTTTGGAAACTGACACGGGGATCCCTCATCTAAGAAGGTGGGTGGAGATGTTTCGAGTCGGGTTGAAGGGTCCAAGTTCCTTGTGAGAAAGAGTATATGTAGCATGTAGATGTTCAAATTCCTATAGGGCTGGAATAACTTTGGAATTTTGATTATTTTGACAGCTTAGCTAATCAACTGTCAACATTAAGAGACCAAGCTGGCTGCCAGGGTGTGAGTTTCCGCCGATGGATCACCACCTGGGACGGTGCCAAAGAAACTAACTACGTGAGCATCTTCGTATTTGGAGGAGATGGTGGTAGGGCGGGGTTGAACAGCGACCTCTTCTACTACCAAAATTCAAATTACATGTGAAATTTAATGCAGGTCAAGTTGCTCGTGTGCAGTGTCTCATTGGAATTTGATGGCCTAGGTGCAGGATTGTCCCCTAGGCCGGCCATTTGTGTTTGTGAATAGACCGACACGTGGCAGACACGTGGCAGAGTCCTTGTGCCACATTGGGAGACCTGACGCCCACGCAGCCGACCTAAGAAACTTGTTGAAACACGACTAGATAGGTGCAACAGACTTGGTGATCCACCCCATTCCACTTGGCTGTTAGGAAGGAATTAGCCTCGCGGCAATATCACCAAATTTTACATCTAGTTACATCCGCAGGATGGACCACCTATACTATGTCCAATCTTGGCCAGGCTGCTCCCAAAAAGGAAATCCGACGATGCGCCGGAGCTAAGCAGGCGAGATGAGCGCATGGGGGGTCCAGCCGATAGGTCACGGGGTCAACCCACAGATCCAGTGCAGCCCACATATCCAGTACTTGGAAGGTTTAGTCTCATGGTTGCGAGAGTACCCGTTCACGTGTTAGACGAAGGAAGGAAGCAAGGGAGCAAGGAAGGAAGGAACGAAGGAAGGCTGACTTTGTTAAGATGAGGCCTTAGGCTAGATTTGGATTCGTCATTTACCTTGGTTCTGGACTTTTCCTCAACAGAAAGTGTTGTACCCAGCTGCGCCAAGGGTTTACTGTTGCTTCAAGATGAACAATCGCCAAGTTTAGCAAGGAGTGTCAGAATCTCCTTGGGATTTGTGTCAGCTGGTTCCACAACCTCTTCAATGTCGTCGTGTTCCACTAGATCATCCACAACGCTCTCTTGTGATTCTATGTGTCTGGAGTGGCTGCCCGGCCAGCTTCTGGCAAACTCCTCGGAGAGAATCATCCAGGGAAAGCAGGTGTATAACCACTTTCTCCAAAACTGACACAAGAGAGAATGTGTTACGCAAAATGCCACAGGCTACCAGAAAACTTTGACAAAATACAGATCCAGCTTCGGCCGATGGAATCGGAGTCTCTTTCGGTTCCTCCAAGCTAGGCCGTGAAAAGGGTCACGCCTTCATGGCCAGGATTGGGTGTTTTGATCCTGTTTCGTTGCAATGCTATACCCAAACATGTGTAAGTTGGGGCGGAGAGACCAAGAACGGCTAGGGTGCCAGTGGCTTTGGTTCGGTCACCGGCTTCAGATCCTGGGGCGCGCCGTGGCTTTTTGGGTCAGCAAGACGGTGGGTCTCACGGCATGCCGCGAAGAAAGGTGCCAAGCGGAAGAAGCGCAAAGCGTCCCATGGCCCGAAGTCGCAGAGCATGGAGAGCGGACACTTGATGGTTTGAGCGGCTTTAGATGGTGTTGGGATCCTTTGTTGGTTTCGTTGTAGAATGAAAGGAGAAAGTGCTGTTGATTGTTGCAGCTGCCAATCATGGCAAAGTGAGGATCCAGACAGTCCGGGGAGGCTGAGAGCGAGCTGGCAGCCAAGGCTGCTAAGCTGATCGAATCTTGGAGTGCTTTTTCATATCAGTTGGGTTTGTCACAAACCACTCAAGCTCAGGGGGTCTTTGATACAGCCTTTGTTGTAAGTATTGGTCAAGAGTGCGTAAAGAGAACCACGATAATACCACACTTGAAGTTGATGTGCTGCTTTCAATCAAGACCTTTGAGCTGGTGAAAGCCTTGAAGGAGACAGCCTCGACAACTTTCACCATGAGTGAGTCAACGACATTCTTCTCGCTGTTCTTCACGATTCTTCAGGTTTTTGTTGCCAGCCCACTCACACCTCACCACTCTCAAGTTGATGCTGATGCTAGAATAAATGTTTTGTGCGCAGGACACGTGTTCAAATTGCTGGCTACGATTAGAGCAGCATTGACAAACTTTGCAATGTCGTGAACAAGCAGTTTAATTATAGTGATCTGTAACGTACCACAAGAGACTTGGTCTAATTACGTTGTACTTGAAGACTGACACCACTTTGTACAGCTACCGCAGTCTGCGCCAGAATCGAAACATACAGTCGTAAAACTGACTGGAATCACCAAATGCTCCTTGGAGACATCTACGCATGCGTGTTATTTTCGATCCATAAAGGAGACATTCATTTGATGCGCTTGATTTTGGTGGAAGTGTCCATGTTTCTTGATGTCTGAATCTCAACTCCCGAGGACATGTCAGAGTCCGTTGTCGCCAAGCTGTTTCAGAGACCTTGGCAACTTCACCCACCCTGCATCACTGGCAGACCCTCCACGCCTGAACAGATTATCATCACCGTTCTGGGGTGCAGCAACGTGACTGTGTCCAAGACGATTCAAGGAGTGTACAGAGCAGTCAGTTCCTATCGCGACAAGCCAGTCTATAGGAAGGACGGGCCTGGCGCCCTGCGACCGTTCATTTTCTACTGGGAACGAGGGGATGGAGCACGTTTCAAGGGTTGGTGGTTTGGGTCAGAAGTAGGGGGCGAACAAGTCTTTCAACCCATGCTGCCAAACGGCGAACCCATTTGTGCCACCAGCTGTTGGTTGGAGAATTCCTTTTGACGGCTCAGTGGATGAAGCCTTCGGGATGATTTGCCTCGGAGGTCATTCAAATACCCCAACCTTTCCAAAGATGACAGACTGGGAAGAGGAGTGCCGAACTATGCAGCAAACTCTTTCCACCGAACGCATAGAACGGGAACGCCTTGAAAGTGCTTTGCGCGAGCAGAAAGAGAAGGTGGTCGCTACAAAGGTCAAAAAGAGGCCTGGTTTTTGCTAGGCGTGTTGCAACACCAGAATAGAGTTAGAGGCCTTCTTTTGCTGTAGGGATCCCCATGAGATGCATTCTTGATGGGACACAAAGTTGCATGCGTTTTGTTTCCTTACCGCTTGAAGGTGCTGGAAGAACGCTTTCAAAAAAGAGCAGACAATGCGTGCGGAGGCTGAGAAGAAGGTGGAAGAGATGAAAAAAGTGCAGGATCAACTAACTGTTGGCAATAGCGGTGCATGTTGGCAGTACGAGGAGAGCGGAGGCTGGCATGCCGTGCCACCTGAAGGAAATGAACAGATGCACCAGGCTTATTTGGCCTACCTTCGTGATCCAACGTATCACAATCGTTTTGCAATGATCACTTCTGCTGGAGTACCTCGCCAGGTTGATTTCGAGTTGATGATGCAAAAACATTGCGGTACAAACAAAGTTTGCCAGATTCGTATTTTGCCCGGTGTGCCCCACCAGTCGGTTACCCCACCTGCTTGCTTGCTGCAACAGACTGATCAGTTGCGGTCATTCTATGTGGAAATCACTGATGGGCATATTCACGACAAAGTGCGTGAAGTTCTGCAGTTTACTGGCCATGGGCAGGATGGCTCGCACCAATGCTCTTGTATGAAGACAGCAACGGTCAAATCTGTGCACCGCATTGAAAACTGGAGGCTTTGGCAGGGATACAAGCTACGACGCGAGGCTTTGCGGAAGGAGCATGCAAGTTACAATGTTTCTGTCACGCCTGTGGCATTAGACCTTGATGCATTTGATGCTGGCGGCGTCGGCAAAGCCATGACCAGCAACCAAGAAGTGTTTGATTGTGGTGAGCCCCTGGCTCTAGATTAAGATGAAAAGATTCTCTTGCATGGCACAAGTTGGGATTGTGCCAATTCGATTGTCCGCGGTGGATTTGACCATCGTACGTGCAGCCGTGGCATGTATGGGGAGGGCGTCTACTTTGCATCCGCGGCTTGCAAAGCCCATCAATACACCTGCGAGGATCATAAGTCGGGCTGTTGCTGCAAGCGTGAGCGGACTTTGATTATTGCCCGTGTGGCGCTTGGCGATGCATATGTCACAAGGGAAACCAGAAAGAAGGAACGGAGACCACCAGTGAGAAACTGCGCATTCGGAATCACTTATGACTCTATTGTTGTGAACCCTGGTCCATTCCAGGGCCACCACAATCCAAATTCAATACAGGTTCATCAAGAGTTTGTGCTTTGTGACAGGGAACAGGCGTATCCTTGCTATGTGGTTCAGTATCACTTGTGATTTGGTTACCTCTAGAGCAAGCAAAGTCAGATCCTGCGCAACCCAGCTTGTGCAAAAAAACAATGTGAGGGCACAGTGGTTTTCAGGGTGTGCACCCGCATGGTTGTAAAGCCAGAGGGTGGCCTGCCGAACTTGCTGCCCGACGTAGTTTGTTCTGATTGCACCTTACCTAGACCCTTTCAGATCCTTGGTTTCCAGGTCGACAGTGACGAGATGTCCTTGGAATGTCCTCTAAAGTGTTCAAAGTTGTCATCAACAAAGACTATTTCCAAAGGACTATTCAACTATGTCTAGAGCCTTACAGACTTACAGAACTACATATAATATATTAATGAAGATGTACCTACAGTAAGATATCATGATACGTAGTTCTATGTTCTGCACTGACCAGACATCCGCGAGATGTGCCGGTCGGTCTTCAGAGCATTCGAAACATCGTCGGTCACTCGCCATGACAGGGAATCCCATGAACCCCTCACAACACCTTCCAGAAAGGGTTTTGGCCCTGAAATGATCCCCATGGATTGCTTGGCATAGGCCTAAACAGCATACATCACCACTGCATCACTTTATCCACTCCATCTACCACTTTCCTCGGTCGGTGGAAGGCCCGGAGATTTGGAAGTTTATGAGGTTGTCAGTTGTCACTACATCCAGCATGCTCAAGGTACAGATGCTCAATGTGCCATCTATTGGCAACGGTCCTGGTTTGGATTCTCTCCGCCGCCCTAGGTTTATGATATTTGGCTCTTGGGCATGTTTTGGGCTGGTCAGATTCTTGGTTGCACCAGTCACCTGGTGGTGCGCGAGGCTGCACGATGGGGCGATGTGTTGTGTCCGGTCACAGCGGCCAAAGCATGGTGCACTGTTTTTTTTCAGCATTTTTGAGCGCAAAGAACTTGTTCACTGCGGGAATTCCGTGAGTGCAGCTTAATTGGTGCTTGGTTTGCGGCCCAAAATTCTAGATTCCTTCTGCAGGGTCGCATTGTTGTCCATGTTTTTCCCTGTCGCTTGAGGTGCCAAGCTCGGGAGGTTTGGTTTTCAACCCATACGAAACTTTCTCGATGGATTGTTTTTTGGACGTGTTCGGATTTGCATGGTATTTCATATGGAGATCACAGACGATCAGATCTATATAACTATTTCCCACAAGTGCACCTCCAAATGAGCTATGTTGTGGGCGACTGGTGCGGAGTAGCTTGAGAAGCTGATGACACACGGTAATATCCACTTGAATGCCGCAAAAGTATGGGCGGCAAGTACAGTCCTTGCGGCGCTTTTCTGACCCCAAAAGAGAACGGTGGGATTCAATCCGGTCTTTGGGTGAGCGGATCATCCTCATGCTGCAAGCAGCAACTGTCGAAGGGTTTCAGCTTAAATCCACTGGCTCAGGCGACTTTAGAATTAAAGAACACACCTTGTTGAAAAAGATCTGTGAGGTTCTTAGCGTCGGCCCATATGTGGGCACCCACTGAGATTGTAAGCGCAATGTACTTACCCGTCTCTTTGGGGTGTCCAAACAAGATTGTCGTGGCCAGAAATTGGAAGACAGAGGTTTCGAAAACTGATACCAATCAAGCAAGCAAACTGATGCGTTACAGCTCCGTTTCACTTGGGTTTCGCAGCCTTGCTCTCATGGAGACGGGCCAAGCCATGCGATGCGACACGGGACGGTGCCTTTCGAAGCTCCGCTTGCGAAGAGTTGGTGCGTCTCAGCAACCTTTCGGCGGCCATTGGAAGGTCCAAGAGCATTTGGTGAAGCTCAAAGAAGGAAGAAGGCCTGGGGGGCAAGCCTAAAGAGGAGTGCTCTTGGCCGGCCGGATCCCTATATAATACAATATAGTATTACATATGGGAACACAGTGTATATAATATAGTAATAATATCTATATAATATAGCAATATAGTAAATACAATAATTTAATATACATTTCCTATATGTATGTACAGTATGTTTTCTTTTCTCGTGAAAGCACATGGAGAAGAAGCGTAAAGAAACAACATTCCTCAAAAGTGTGGTGTGGAAGCCTGCGGAGAAAGAACATCAATGGTCCTGGCAGCGATCACAGTATGGCGGATTTGCTCAGAGTGAAGTGTCAAAGTCGAGTTGTCCACCGTCTTTAACATGACGTGTTCTCATAAATTCCTCTCTGATGACTTCTTTGCCTTCTCTACTTTGATGTTCTGGTGGTTTGCTTATATGTTATGGACATTAACATAGTTAGCTAAGTAATTCCTAACTAGTTATAACTATTCTTAATTAATTAGTAATTCTCAAAATGTATCATTCAAATACAAAAAAAATCATATTCATTTTGTTTAAAGAATACTTCCATTGTGGATATTTCTTTGGTCTGGGCGATAGTTTTGAAATAAACAATTTCACAAAAACACTGTGTACAACAAGTCTTTTTTAAAAACATGTTTGGAAAAATAAAAAACACTTGAGCCTGTCGAGGCTAAACACTTGAGCCTATAGAGGCTAAACATCAGCCTGTAGAGGCTAAAGTCAAAGCCTGCAATGGCCATGTTGACTGCAAAGACTCACCTTTTTCACTTGTGAAACAGAGGAGCAGGTTTAAGGCAGGTCACCCTGCCATTCTTTCCAAAGTTGTGCACCACTGGCTGCAAGACATCTTGGAGTGGCAGCAACTGCTTTTGGTCACAAGTTTCCCAGACAGTGGCTGTCTTTGTCTTCTGCTCCACAAATTTGAACTCATTCAGCAGCACGCGTGGCACATCACGCACCAACAGAAAATGCAATGCCTTGCCACATCTCGCCATTGCTTGCATCATTTGAGAAGAATACCACATCGCCAGATGTACAAGTGGAGCCTGAAGACAGCTTGCAGCTTGTTGCTGATTGCACACTCTGAAATTGCAGCGCTTGTGCCTTCAACTTCTGCTGCAAAGATTTGGGAACACCTCGAGGGCACAGCAAATGACAAGTGTCATCAACAGCTCTGCATCATGAAGGTTATGAAGGTGTTCCATGGTGCAAGCCACCAAGAGACCTTTGTCATAGGTCTGGAGGTTACAATGCGCAGACCCATATTTCCTTGCTGTTTTGTGTTTCCTTTCACAGGACCAGCATGAAGGCAGCTGACCCCAGCGCTTCAAACAGTCAAAGAAGTGAAGAGTCCAATGATGTTTAGGCCTTGTATAGTTTGCAAAGCCTGCCAATGTGTGACACTCCAATGCACTCTCAACAAGGCCCAACAAAGTCTTGGGGCAAGGGCTGTCCAAATAGGGTATGCTCTGTAGATAGTCCAAAAGTTGACACCATGCAATGAAAGCTCTACACTCCTTGACCATGCAACTGTTGCTCATGTACATGACCTCCAAAAAGTACTGAAGAAGCTTGTGGAGTGTCAGCATTTCTGAAGCTGAACACTTGAAGCCCTTATCCTTTCTGTAGTTGGTCACCTTTTGGCATCAAAGAGTTTGGGAATGTCAAAGCTTTGCTGGTTTTTTGGAAGAACCCATAGAGACAACCATTGGCCCAACAAGCCCCATGCATTGTACCCAGCACTGAAAAGAGCCTCCAAGACCAGATAAATTGCGTCAACCATGATGCCATTTGAGCACATTGTGTGCATATAGTCATGGCAATACCGGCTGGCAGGAAGCAATAAACCATCACTCTGCAAAGTACTGCTTGACAGAAGGTCATGTGGACTGAAAGATACCCCTGTGGCCTGCTGCCACTGGTTGAACTCCACCTGTGAAAGCACATTGAATCTCTCAGCCATTCTGTTCCAAGAATCAACAGTTTCTGCATCGCTAGAGGCTTTGCTTGCAAAACTTCGACAAGATTTTTTCTTCAATTTCATCACCACCAATACCTTTGCTCGCACAACGCGTGCAGGGCTTGGACCCTACATCTTGTCGTCGCATCCAAATAGCTTTGTGCGCAGCGCCGTCTTGAAGAACCATTGACAATGTAAAGTGCAATCGCATGCTGCCTTTGTCACTGGGCAAGAGAACTCCTGTCTGTGGAGTGACTGAAGAAATTCTGAGACATTCCAGCTGACACCTTGGAAGCTTGCACTGTCCTGATTATACTCGATGTGAACCACAAGTCTTCTTTGCAAAGCATGGTTGTAAATTCAAGAAAGCTAACACAGGAGCACCAGGCCTTGCGGCCAGAACTATTCAAGATGTTCCCTGGATGTATTTCATCACAATATATGCAGAGTCGGCCTGAGGCTGTGCAGCTTGAGCGTATACTCTGCAAACGCACCATTTTTGTAAAAGACACCTGCCAACAGAGAAAGGACGTTGACATAAAAGATCTGCACTCTTTCACCTTCCTTGGCAGATATCGATGATCCTCTCTTGCGACCTTCTTCCAGATGAGGCTCCACATTTTTCAAAAGAGCCTTGTTTCCAAAAGACCTGGACATCTCCTCACTTTCCGAAAGAGCCTTGTTTTCTTTCCAAAAGAGTCTAAACTTATATGTAAACAAAAAAGCAAAAATCTATCACTTTAAATTTGAGTTCAAAATTTTGATTTCAAATCTCGAAATTTGGAATTTGAATTCAAATTTTTGAATTCAAATCTCGAAATTTTGAATTTGAATTCAAATTTTTGAATTCAAATCTCGAAATTTCAAATTTGAATTCAAATTTTTGAATTCAAATCTCGAAATTTTGAATTTGAATTCAATTTTTTGAATTCAAATCTCGAAATTTTGAATTTGAATTCAAATTTTTGAATTCAAATTTTTGAATTCAATTTCTTGATTTCAAATTTGAATATTTGGGATTTGAATCAATTTGTTTGAATTCAATAAACAATAAAAATTCGATGACATTTAGACAAAGAAATATATGGTTGTATTTGATAAAAAGCAAAAAAAAGATCAAACTTTAGGAATTTTCAGTACCAATATTTTTAACATGTTATACAACATCCGCCTTCAAATGCACAACAGCAGCCTTTACAGGCCCAATGATCAACAGGAGCATATACACGCTGAGCCTGCGCAACGATAAGC